AGAGCTATTTTAGGGCTACGGCTACCTTTAGTTCTCAGATTTCAGATTTAAGATTTCAGATCTCAGATTTCGGCTTCCCGTCTCGTATGTTGGCAAGTACTTTGGTTGTTTCTTGGTTGTTTTGCTAGGCATTAAGGCCAGACCTACTTAATTTCGATATACTCGATTGGATTTACTTAGTTAGATACGCATAAATAGTCATCGTTATTGATAGATGTGGAAAATCATAATTGAAATCAAATGAAAAGTAACTTTTACTTTAGTTTTTTCTTTCAGTTCCGGTTGTGGCACTTTCGGCACTCAGCGTTATTGCAATGCCTATCGGTTATCGGTTAGCGGTTATCGCAGGTGGCAATCGCAACACTTTACTATACTTTTACAAATCTGTTTAACTGGATTCTGTCTGTGCGTGTGTGTGTTTGTGTCTGTGTGTGTGTGAGATCAGAGTCAATTATAGTTATAGTTATAGGTTTTAATAGGGGTTTAGACAGAGAGAGATACAAAAATACGAGTATCTAGAGTATCTAGAGTATCGGGAGTATCGAGAGTATCGAGAGTTAGAGAGAGGTAGGGATACAAGTAGAGATAAAAAGACCAGCAGAGAGACAATACGCTGGGTTTCTCACAAACATCATTTTGTATTAAATTTGATTTGGTTTCAGTTTCAGTTTAATTTGAGGTTTAATTTTTGATTTGGATTTCATTGATTGGGTTTCTGTTTTGTTTTATCAGGTTTTTATCAGTGCGGTTCGTTTTGACGATTTCTTTTCAATCGCTGACGTTGACAGCATATTCTGTGGTAGCAGGCGAGCAATCTGTTGTCGTTGGGTTATGTTTCTTGTTGGCTTTAGCTGGTGTCCTACGCGGTTCGGCTGCTTTTTGATAGAATATCGATATCGATAGTCGATTATTGAATTTGTATCCCCTGTTCTGTTCTGTTTTTTTTTTTTTTTTCAGTTGTGGTTCTGGCTCCTGGATCGCGGACTCTACTCGAGTTAAACACAATCAAACAAATTCACTGAACAAGAGAGAGAGAGAGAGAGAGAGAGAGAGAGAAGATAGAGATAGGAGAGACAGATTGAATCGAAATTCGACAAAGCCAAAGCAAAGTTAATGATAATAACCAAAGGTTATAGGCCGCCAGATGGCGCCCCGTGTAGCTAGGGGAATGGGGGACTCGAAAGGTAAAGCTAAAATATAAATAAATAAGCGTAATTTGAGCTAATAATAATCTACGATACGTATATGCAATATTTATAAGGCAAAAACAACGCATAGATCAGGTGTGTAAAACAAAGTGTAATAGAGAGATAGATGGACAGATAGAGGTGGGGCGGGGCCATTCGAGAGACCCTTCTTTTGCGGGCTGGGTTTGGGTTGGTCAACCTTGAGATTGATAGACAGATAGATAGATAGATCAATTGAAGGATCGAGACTGAGTTGAAGTTGATTATGGGGCTGGTTTCGTTTGGGTAGGGTGAGGAGGTAAACAGGTTGAGTGGTTGAGAGGTTGAGAAGTGGAGAGGTGGAGGTGTGAGGTTTTGTGGGGTTAGTTTTAGTGGTAAATGAACTAGAATTGCTTGTTTTGTAATTACCATTTTCTATCACTTTGCGTTAGCGGGGTGGGGGGATGGGCGCCCCCGCGTGGGCACACCACACACACACACACGCACCACCAACCCTTCGGGGGTGCAGAGCAGTTGTGGAGCAGTTGTTCTCGATTCTGGCTCGGAAGGGAAGGCCTTCTCGTTGCAGTTCGTTTACTGATTCTGGTTCTGGTTCTGTTTTGATATTATTTGATTGCACGTCCTATCGTTGATCGTTGATCGTTGCTCGATTATTGCTTATCGGTTATCAGCTATCGGCTATCGGTTATCGACTATCCGCTTCTTGCTTTATTTTATTGACTTATCGTTTGATCGATTTTGTTTCATTCCTAAATCTCAGTCACACAATCTAAGGCCACCTATTGATAGTTGCCCTGTTTTCTTTGATTTTATTTTATGTGAGTTTCTTTTACTTTATTTTAGAGTGCTTTGCTTAATTATCGATATCGTAGTATCGTTATCTTTATTGCGTCACGATTTATCGTTTGATATTGATTACGATTTGATTTTGGTTTTATTTGTTTTGATTTGATTTGGTTTTGGTTTGTTTGGTTTGGTTTGGTTTTCTGCTTGCAAGTTCATATGTAAATAATTGTTATACATGGATATACGTGGCTATATATACATACGAGTTATCACATTCGTTAGCATTATTCATTCGTTCGTGTTCGTTCGCTATTCATATTGTTCTTCCCGACATAGTTCTCGCTTGATTACCGCTGGCATCGATATCGATGGCCCACATTTTTGCCGCACTCTCAACTGTCCTGTACTGTTTCTGCTGGTGCTGCTGTCTGTAGGACCTGGCGACTCTGACTCTGACTTTGACTCTGACTCTGACTTTGCTGGGGCTTCTGGGCAGGACTTCTGGTCTGCGACTTGGACTTGGTCTTGGTCTGCTGCGAGGGCGCTTGGCCAGGCCATGTGGCGGCAGCCTCCTCGGCCGTTGCTGTTGTGGCCGCTGTTGCCGTTGCCGTTGCCTCGGTCTCGGGCTCGGTCTCCCTTATTGTCCTGATTGCACTGTTCGCTGTTCTGTTCGTGGATCTTCTGCTTGAGATCGTCGCCGGCTCGTCGCTGGGCAGGGTTGTCAGGGTTGCCTCATAGCCGCCACAGGCTTCACCGTTGCCGTTTCCGTTTCCGCTTACGTTGTTGCTGCTGCTGTTGCTGTAGTCAACCTTTGATGATGTTTCGGTTCGGTTCGGTTGGGTTTCGATTCGATTCGATTCGATTCGGTTTTGGTATATTGGGTTCGTTTGTGTTTTTCGGTTTCGGAGATATATATATATATATAAAGAATAAAACATTTGCTTTAAATTACATGTTACCCTTCATAGACGGAGAAAGGTAGATACTATAAAGTTCGAGAAAGATGGGCCCAGGGACAGGGACAGGGACAGGGACTTGGAGACTTGGAGACTGAGAGAGACTTCGCTTCGGTTGGGGCTGTGTTTCTGAGTGTGCCTTGTGTGTGGGGAAATCATAAGCCTAGACACGCGCACACAGAAAACAAAGAGTTCTAGAGCTAAACTTATAAGAACGGTTAAAATCGTACAATAATTTTCTTGCCAAAAATTTTCATTACACACAAACAGCGAGAATAGAGTCAGACATAGACATAGATATAGTACAGCTATAGGTATAGTTATAGTTGTAGATTTTAGCTAAGCATATCAATCAATCAATTACACAGCCAATTACAATCAAAAATCAAACTGAACGTAGACAAAAGGAGTGACAGAGACAGAGACAGAGACTTGGGTTGCCTTTTGTGTGGGTGTGGGTGTGTGTCTGTGTATGGTATGTGTGTAAGCCAGAAAGAGACGCTTGTATTGTGTGTGTGTGTGTGTGTGTGTGTGTATTCTGTATATTCTGGTGGGAGAAAGAGAGAGAGAGGAGAGCTCTGCGAGAAAGAGAGATGGGTATGGCGGATGGCTGGACAATGGTTATAATGGACAATGGGCAAAAATGGGTCTGTGATGGCGCTACCAACTCTCTTCCCTGCCCGGCGAGGCCCAGCGAGCGAGTGAAAGTGAGAGTGGGCGAGAGAGTGGCAAAAAGACAGAGATGGCTGTTTTGTTCTTGGCCATCATTTTCTTAAGATTGTCCTTTGTGGGTTTTTCTTTCGTTTCGTTTCGTTTTTTTTTTTGTTTGTTTTAAGGGGGTTTTTGTCTGTTTTTTTCTTTGTCTGTTGATATTTTCATGTTCAAAATCCTACTTGATGAATGTTTTGCATATTAATTTCATTTTTTTTCATACTCTTTTTTTTTCTTTCTTTTTCTGTTTTTTTTTTTTTTTTTTGCAATTTATGTGAATGTTCATTTGTTTGTTTCCTTTTGTTCTGTGATCTTTTGAAAATGTTCGCTCAGAATGTTAAGGCTCACGGTAAGTATATTATTATTATTATTATTATGTATTATTATTATGTATTATTCATATTACTTTCGCTTTTTTTTTTTTTTGTATTCATTTCTTGTTGGTATTATTATCATCTATGGGTTTTGGTTATGGAATGGCAATGGTTGAAAAGTCACGGCCTCCAAACTCAAACGCAAACAACAGAAAAAACATGGCGGGGGGAAACAGAAAAGAGAATGGAATGGTTTCTTTTTTGGGGACCAGCTCGTACGGATGAGGCTAGTTCTGGAATCTGGAATCTGGAAGCTGGAAGGACATTTATGCCCATCCACTGCCACGTTTACAGAGTGTTTGTTCATTTGTCAGCTGTTGCTTCAGCGCTTGCATTATTATTTGGTGGTGATATCATATATATGTATATATTGTGGTGATTACTTGATTCGGTTTGTTTTCGAGTTTGAGATTGTGGTCCACGGGCTGTCAGGGTTGCTTCTCTCGCATGGTTTTCACGACGAGTTAGTTTTTGGCTTTGGATGTATGTACATACATACATACATGATGGATGTACGTGGTACAGTATGGTTTTTGGGGCAGTACAGTGTAATTTGTTTACATTTTTTTTGGTTTATATTTGGTATTTTCTGGTATTTATCTGGTATTTTGCTCGATACTTTGTTACGCTTACAACAGTGGTGGTGGTAGTAGTAGTAGTAGTAGTAGTAGTAGTAGTAATAGGTATGTAGTAGAAAGTAGTAGTAACATATTCGATTTGTTTTTTGCTTTTCAAGCATTTATTTTTTATTTTTGTTTTTTTTTTCGGTTGTGGTTTTACGATTTAAACTCAATTTGTATTGTATTTTTGTTTTTCGTTTGGGTTTCGAATTGAGATTGAGATTGAGATTGAATTGAGTTGAGTTGGAGTGGTAGTAGAGTAGAGTATGGTATGGTATAATCATTCAATGAACCAAAGGCGGTATAAAAATAGAGCAAGTTCATATGGATTAGTACAGTTGTTAAAAGGAAACAGTTGACACTCACCGATGATCTACTCACTTGCATAAACGCATAGACGCCGCGTAAAAACTCCATGTTATTTTGTTGCTCTTGGGTACCCTTTTTGGTTGTGCGTTGGGCCCGACTTATATACTGCTTAACGGTGTCCGCAACAAGATGTGGCTTTAGTTTGCGTGATAGAACCCTGCAACGAAACGCAACACAACATCAGTGACGAGTCTCACAGGGAAAGAGCGAGAGAGACGCTCTGATATGTACACGCGTATATACTGGGGCTTATCCTCAGTCGAGGTCATCCAGTGCTTGACTCGGCCCTCGCATCTAAATTTAAACGTTAAGCAAATTGTCACTCGAGAGGTGCTCGCCTTTCTCATCTTTTAAACGGAAACACTTTCCTCTGCCTTTGTGCTAATTGGCCGCACTTAGTGGGTCTACTAGTGGCCCAACCCATCCCCGTCCCCATCCCCACACACATCCACAGCCCACTCCACCGCAGGCATCCACTTGTGCGTGTGTGTGTGTGTGGTGTTCATGAAATATGCGCAAAGGCCACAGCCACAGCCAGGCCAGGGAGGAAACATGGATAGATAGCTAGAGGAAGGGGGGGTGGTACAGTGGCAAGATAGTGGGGGAATATTGGGTGGAATTTTTGCGTTCCCTAATTGAAATCCTCCTCGGCTGACGACTTTACGCATTTTGTGTGAATTGACAACGTAGATTACGCTTATCGCTTAATTGCCTCCAGCAACAGGGAGAGTTCTCCAGCTCCAGCTCTAGCTCCAGCTCCGATTTCATTTCCGGTTCCATCTACATATACATATCTCCCATACCCGCTTCGTTTCTGGCTCCGTCCACGCCCTGTTCTGGCACACACTCACGCATAATTCCCGTTTTTATTAGCCAAGCTTTTAAGCTCTGACTAACCAAAGACGCGGATAGACAGACACTCACTGGGAGGCAAGATGCTCACTCCCCATTCGTACACCAAGAGAAAAAAAGCATGTACATCCTGGCATAGATCAGATGGTACAGAAAGGATATATTACTCTGCAGAGATATGTTTACAAGAGGGATCGGGGTCACCAAACCATCGCCAATGGCTTCCACGGCTTGCCACCCCATTTCTCTCTGTGCATCATTCAGAAAAAACGATGCCAGTTGGCTGATAAAGACCAAGACTTCATTTACTACTCTATTGACTCAAGCATCTAGCTGCGAGGGAGATTTTCTGTGATTTTCTGTGCTTTTCTCTGGATTAGCAGCGCGTTTAATTGGATTCCCATGTGAGCACACAGACCCAGCAAAAACCATCATCAAGCGGAAAGAATCTTGTGGAACTTTCTCTGGAATTTAATTCCTGAAAAATGCAAAAATGCTATCTTCCTAATGTTGCATATTCCCAGAACGAAAACTAATAAACTTTTCTGTTCTGGTCTGGCCTGGTCTGGTCTGAGTCCTGGGCTGGCTGCCAACGCGCATTTCCGTTTCCGGTGTGCGCCTAATTTATTATTAATGAAAAAAAGAGAGCGTAGCGGCTACAGGAGCTGGGGGCTTCTGGGTGGAGGAGGATGCTAACTGCTTGCTGATTACTTTCGAGAGCAACATACACAAATTTCTCGTCTGCTGCTCTGGCCTCCACAAAATTTCCACAGCCTCTCGGACCTTGGACTCTGTGCATATTGACTTTAGCTCGGTCTGCATTCTCTGCCCCTTGCCACGCCTCCCAGCTGCCTCCTAGGGGTCGCTAGAAGCCAAATAAATTCGAGTACAAAGCAAATTGCTACGTAGGGAGGACCCGTACCCAGCCCCAGTTCCATTCTGAAGGAACAAAATTGAAAATACTTAAAAAGCAACATCGCCATCGGCAACATTACTTGTATTCTCCAAATGTCCTTTGGCTACACTTTCTCCTCCGGATGCCAAGGAGAGCGAGTGTGTTTCCGCGTCCACCAAATTGTACTTATTCCAATCCTTCGATAACTTGAACCCACTATCCCTTACATCCATTTCCATTTCCCTCTTCTCTTCACTGAACTGTCCGTTAATCTTTCTTTTTTTTTATCGCCTCCATCGTTGGCTTGCTTTTCCGTAGGGTATCCTCCAAGTCGATATCCATTACGGCTTTTCCTTCAACTTGTTGGCCCTGTTTTCGGCATTTCAATATGGGCTTTAGTCGACGAAGGGCGGTTTACTTCCAGGGAGGGCGTGGCAGCTTGCAGAGGTCTTGTTTTCGGCGTCGTCGCCCACTCTCTTTTGCTATTGTTGTTGTTGTCTTATTGAAATTATTTGACCTTTCGGCTGGAGGGGCACAAGCTTTTAATTTATTATTATTTTTGTAACCGCATTCACCTTCTGCGTCTGGGGTCTGGAGTCTGGAGTCTGGGTCTCCACCGATTTCTGGAGGGTTGAACGCCTCATGACTTTGTTCGTTACGTTCTTCCTGGGAAATATTTCGGCGGTTTCGCTTTGTTTTGTTTCACTTTGGGGTCTTTGTTTTGTTTTATTTTTCGGCTGACAGGCGTAACAGAAATGTTAAATTGCAAAAAATAAATCTTGAAATTGACTTTGTGCAGGCGCTTCGCCTCGGTTCGGTTCGGTTCGCCTTTGCTTCCTTGCGGTTCGCTTGTCCCTGGCACCTTTTTACTTTTTTTTCCTTTATTTATTTTTCTTGATTTTTTTTCGCATCTTTTACAAACTGTCGCCTTTTTGAGTTGCTGCTGACAGCGTGAAAATCGAGATAAATGTGTTTTTCCTTTTCCACAATCCCCCCCCAAGAGAAGGCGGCCAAGAGAACAGTTTATTTAATTCGAGAAAGAAGAGCAGGCACCAAAATGGCCATGAAGTGGCGCGGGAATATTTCTATTTAAAGATCCAAATCAGTGAAAGTCCTGAAAAGTCACAGGTAAAGAATGCCAGTCGCCATCGGATGAATATTTTTAACAACTTTTGAGGCGGTGGTGGGTGGGGCACTCCTCAAGAAATGTTGGCCGCCAAACCTGCTTCGAAAACCCATTGAGACCCCTGGTTTATGGTACCCCCTGCCAGTATGCGATCAATATATAATTCTTCTCAGTACCCATGCTGGTCCTAGGTCCTAGCTAGGTCCTAGGCTGCTCTGTAGATAAATATGAACTAATTTTGCAAACATTTTGCATTTTAACCAAATGATTTCCATTCTGTGACAGGCAGACGGCTTATGTGGCTCTGATTTCACCCACAAATCGGTTGCTGGGACATCGACTCTCGTCTGGATGGACTTGGGATGGGACTGACAGATCTGACTGGTCTTCCACCGTTTTAGTTGTAATATATGGTAGTTTTATGTTGGTCAATACTCGACTTTGCAAAACTCTTTCCTCACTCACTGCGGCACTCGACAAAAATCTGTCTCCTTCGCTCTGGCATCACGTGTCTCTAGTGGCGATGCGGCGACAACTGAGGCACAGTCACAGGCGGCGCTGCAGTTGCCCCTGCAACAGTTAATGGGAGGGCTCGAAGGCCCCTGGGGGTCAGCCAGACGACAGCTTCTCGCATGGAGCAGGGGAGCAGATAGCCATGCAATTGTTTTCCATATGAAGACAAAGCCATCGGAATTTTATATTTCAGATTTTCCCCATCGCTACTGTTTGCCTTTATTTGATATTCTTGGCTTTCCCTTCGATGCCATTTCTCCTTGGCTTCGCAGCGTAATAAGCACAATTATCCAAAAACAAAAGTCGGCTAATACACTGGGAGAAAACAGTGAATGCACATGTGTATCCATAGATAGATATATCTTGGGGTTGCACTTTCGGGAATCTCTTTCAAAATGAATTTCCCTTAAAAACCACAAATCTCCTGCCATCTTGGCAAGGAGAATTCCAATCGTTCCGACAAGCATTTGTCAGGAATATCTGGTTATTAAATTCCCTTCGAAACCATGCAACAAAATTAATAAGGACTATCCATTGCATTCGATGCGATTCCAGTCCTGTTGAGGCCTTCGACAACCCTGGCAGAGGGCTGTCCTGCCAGTCCTTTGGCGGGGGCCAATTAATTGCCCAACCACAATTTACTCTTGTGCCTGATATTGTCCTTTGTCTTTTGTTGTGGCGAGTCCTTCAAGATTGCCTTCTTGTTGTCCTGTAATTGCTGTCCTGCTGTCCCCAAAGCCCACCCCACTGCTGAGCCGCTTAAATTGCATGGAAACAAATCGAGCGGGGGCCATTGGGGGGTGGGGGCGATTGCGGTTGCCCAGCTGAAGAGGTCAGTTGACAGAGCTTGGAAAATGCCAATGCCAAAATAATTGCGCATAATTCCGTTTTCCATTTTGCCATCCAGCGAACGGACGAGCAATGACCGCAAAATGCATTTCGAATAAAGCCCTACCCCCCGCCCGCTCCCCACGGGTGTACGTAGTCCTGTGGCCCCTGGTGTGGATATTACAGGTACGAGCACTCGCTGCGCATTTGTATCGACATTGGCTAATGTACGAGGAGCCAGTCATAACCATATTTGATGCAAACAGAGTGGAGTCCTCTTTGGGCCGTCTCTCGTGAGTTTCCTTATGATTTTCAACAGCTGCTCTGGGAGTTTTCAAAGGCCTTTTGTCCGCCATTGTTGGACTTTACAGCCTGTCAATCGAACGGCACTGCCTCTTGATTGATCTTGGTTCCGTGGTTCCGTGGCTCAGTGGTTAGGCGGTGTTTCGGCGGTGGTTCGGCGGTGGTTCAGCGGTGGTTCGGCGGTGGTTCGGCGGTGGTTCGGCGGTGGTTCGGCGGTGGTTCGGCGGTGGTTCGGCGGGGGTTCAGCGGTAGTTCGGCGGTGGTTCGGCGGTGGTTCGGCGGTGGTTCGGCGGTGGTTCAGCGGTGGTTCGGCGGGGGTTCGGCGGTGGTTCGGCGGTGGTTCGGCGGGGGTTCAGCGGTAGTTCGGCGGTGGTTCGGCGGGGGTTCGGCGGTGGTTCGGCGGTGGTTCGGCGGGGGTTCAGCGGTAGTTCGGCGGTAGTTCGGCGGTGGTTCGGCGGTGGTTCGGCGGTGGTTCGGCGGTGGTTCGGCGGTGGTTCGGCGGTAGTTCGGCGGGGGTTCAGCGGTGGTTCGGCGGTGGTTCGGCGGTGGTTCGGCGGTGGTTCAGCGGTGGTTCGGCGGTGGTTCAGCGGTGGTTCGGCGGTAGTTCGGCGGGGGTTCAGCGGTAGTTCGGCGGTGGTTC